CTTCTTCTTCAGCACCATGGACAGTGGTCACCTCACAAAGCAGAAGTGTCAACCAGTCACACACACCTGACTCCTGTTGATCAGAGCTGCAAAGCCACAGTTGAAGCCCTTAAGAAGTAGCCACAGAAAGTGTGAGTGTATGACCTTACTATCTTTGGAAGATCCTAAAATCACACCTCCTTCTGTTGTTCATGAAGTTTTCTTTCCTCGTGGTTTTCCTAGGGAGCCTTTTCAGTTTTGGTACCTGCTCTATGCCTAAAAGAGGACATCACTTAAATCATGGTCAACAGGAAACAAGACCAGCAATCAAGTTTGTGAGGCCATTAGTGTTAAATGTGACCTAAGAAACAGTTTGACAAAAAACATCTTAATTCAAGGTCCACTTACTACCTATTTTTGGAGCTTTCTGCCTCATCTTGTGGCTTTCATTAGAAAACTATAAAAAAAACTCACTGACTCACCAGAAAGTTAATGCCCTTAGATACAGATTCTTAAGGGAAATGGTTATTTAGTTGAATTCTCACCTCGACCTGTGCATAACTGCTACACAATAATCTTGGAAATGGTTTTATAGTAGTTGTATACTGTGCTTTGAGCTGGAAGCATGTGAAGTCCCGGTTATACAAAAGAAGAGATACCAGTAGAGAGAGCCAAGAGAAAGCTGTTGTCTAAATTACACAGTTGAATCTGTAGGCTGTTGATATTGGAGCTGGAGCAGTTCACTTTTCTGGTGGAAATACAATCCATCTAATTAAGAATTCCCTGTCCGTGCAGCAACGCAGACATTTATACTGCCGGCAGTTCAACAGACTTCATACTGAAAGAAATCTGTAGTGTTTTTAGCCACTTAAAGCAAAGGGTAATTTGTGAGAAAACCATTATGTCAGCAGTCTGAATTTAGCTGTTTATTTTGTGTGTAAGAAAATCTACAACCAAACCAGTGAACTAGTGATGACCTCATTGGTGCCAAAACCTTTCAGAAAACAGTCCAGGGATGAGCCAGTTTCACATCAGCAGGGAGTGAAAAGAGGTTCTCTGCACATTTTCCACCAATGTGCAGCTGAATCAGGTGCTTCTTAGAACATAGACAGCAAACTTCAGAAGGAAAAAAAACATGTTGAAATGTTGGATTGTTGTGTTGTTGACACAGTACTATGAAAGTGTCAGTCTGTTTGCACTATAAAAGGCTCCAAATCGTTGTGCTGCAGTACTTTTTCCTTCTGAAATGAGTTATTTTTCACTTGTGTGGGTACATCATACCCTGTGTTGGAGGAATACAGTGCATCAGTATATGAAAAAGTCAAGAAAAGGCTCAATCATTTATTTCTTTCTTTCCACAGATCTAACTGACAGTTGTTTGTTTGTCTTCTTGTTCTCAGTGATTTATTTGTTGCTTGCTAATCTTTTATCACTTAAAATCTTTATATCTAACTTTTGGTAGAACATTATCAGGCTAATGACACAACCATTCACTGTGTGTACCATTACTCTGCCATATGTCTGTGACTTAAGACTTTCCATAAGACACAGCAAACTGGCAGCGTGTCTGCACAGACTTGATGATTTGGGGAATTCTGACATTTAAACTCCTCATGATTCACTCAAAAGCTCCTCATTTCTACAAAGTGTGTAACTTGCTTAACTCAAATGTCTGTTGTTTATATACAGTGTATTTTATAATTTTTATGTAAAACTGTCTCTCAAACATCAAATCACAATATTTTTTCTATCATAGATTCTGGTGTATTTCTAAATCATCCATTAGTAACAAACATTTAGGATTTTAATGCTATACTGTGTGTTGACCCTTAAACACTCACAGAAGCAAAAGAACTGAGTCTAATATACTGACCCATAGAGCCACAATGTAGTGTAATTTAAGCTCTTGCAATACAGTCTACCTTCTCACATTGTATTTTATTAGTTTCTTTAATTAGTAAATCAATGAACAGAGGAAGTGATGCAGACATATCAAATTTATTTCAGTAAACTCAGTAAATCAATTATCTCACTGCAGCATTTCATTAGATTTTTTCATATGTAAATCCTGGTTGAAAGATAAGAGGGGAATCTTCTCTGTGAAATAAGTTGTTTTAAATGTCCTTCATCCTTGTTATTTATAATAAAACAGAAGTGATAGTCAAACATTGCACAATTTAAACATTGTGGAAACAATTTTGAAATTATACATTTTCTAACTACTATTTTTACCATCGCCAGATAATTACTACAATGATGTTATTATATTATAAGATACAAAACCAGGGAAATATGTAATGTATTTTAAGTATTTAATCACAAACTGGGAACAAAATCCGACTCGACATGTTTGTCTCAATGCTTTACTCAAACACCAGCCAGCAGTCGTGTACAGATGCTTCAGTGTTAATAATGCTGGCGTATATTTTGGCTTGGGATGCCAGACATCCTTTCAGCTGCAGTCACGATTTGGAGGCTGGACAACCTAAAAGTCTGGAAAACCTCCACGTAACTGTGATGGAGACGATCACCTTCAGCAAGGCAGAGAGTCCGTGGACGCTTTTGGTTTCACGCATCAATGAAGCTGCGCAGCCTCCATCTGGCTGAACGCTTTGGCTCGTGTCAGTCTCATGCCGTTTATACGATCAAATTCTCCCTCTTCAGGGTTGTATTCTCAAACTCAGGGAGTAAGATTTAAGATGTTTTCTGGAAATTTACAAGATACTTTTTCATCTTTTGCTCCAGATTATAATTTTCCTCAAAACTGTTGGTGATTATATACTTTTAATAACATGTAATAAAACATTTAATGAAACATTCGTACAGTTTTTACTTTATCTGACTAAATAAAGACAGAAATAGTCAGACACTGAGTTCAGTATGGTTTAACTGGACTGAACTGGAAGTAAACAAAGAAGCTAATCATATCTCTTTCCCATAGAATTTATGGAAGATTTTTTGTGAGCACACTTTTCTGTACATCCTTTAACAAAGGATCACTGTGCTCTCAGCTTGCACAGATGGATACCCACGCTGTAACCAGGACAAAAAGGGTCCCAACCGACCCTCACTTGGACTTTTTTTTAGTGTTATCTCGAAGGACCCGTTTCCCAGACTGGACTTGATGGCAGTTATTTGGGGCCCCATGGGGCAGGACGCGTGCAAAACCACGCATCTATAATGCTTGAAAAAAAGCAGGCTTGTAACACTCAAGCTACAGCAGGACAGCTTGCAGCCGGGGGGCAGCGTTATCTTTTCCAAAATGATATGAGCTCGTTGAACTACATATGTTTCCAAATGTAAATAAATACACTTCAGTTGAATTGATACGTTTTGCTTTTGCTGGGAGTGCTTTAGTAAACAATTCCGTGCGTAAAGCTGGTATTTTGTGCGTAAAGCTGGTATTTTTATATTATGTGGTATATATATGTGTTCCTCAATTATATTCAGCCCGAAACAATTAAGTCTGTTATAGCACATTTTACTACAACATAATTTTAGATATAAACGAGAAATAAATATATTATTTGATGCATTTCCAGGGAATCTATCGTTTTAGGACATATATGGTTGTGCAATGTTGGTTTTACTTGGTTTAATTCGTATTACCATAGTGTTGCTATATAACGCTATATATCTATTGTGTCTGTGTGCTGTGACCCAAGCCTCCCTCCCTCCAAAAAAAACGTGGTTGAAGCACATTGATGGTGAGGGAGCACAAGAACTGGAGCAGGAGCTGGGATGCTGATGGGAGCAACAGCAGAGTGGTGCACCAGTGGGAGACAGAGGCTGAGGGGGGAGGGGGAGTAGAGATGGAAGATGAGAGGAAAGGGGGGCTTCCCATCTGTTGTGCAGTGATGGCGCGTGCCGAACGCGTGAATCCCACTGGCAGGTTTCTGCACTGTGTTTGGTTTAATGGTCAGCAGCAGATTGACTGAAACTGTTTGTAGATGCTGAAATAAAATAAGTTCATTTTAAGTTGAAAGTATCTACAATGTTATATTTAACATTGTGTTTATAAAAGTTTTAGGAGTCTTTAAAAGAGCTCCAGTCTTTTACTGAATCACAGGCCTATTCTTCACCGTGATGTCCTTGCACTGTGAGAGCAGACGTGTGTATTGCCTGGCTCTTATGGAATATATTCATACTATGTTCATGATCTGCAGACGCACCTCTCACGTTGTGTTGGAGGTTGTCACGTCACTGAGTCTCCTCCTCCACTGCTCCAGGTAAACACCGTGTTGTTGATATTGGAAACAAGCTGCCGAGGGTCCACAAGCAGATGTTAATCCATACATAGCGTGGCTTGGGTCTCTGGTTTATTAATTGTAGGAATAGATTAGTCCTGTCACCTCGGAATCACTCATCTTTCTGTGTTGCCTTTGTTGTGGCGGGTAGGCAAGTCGAGCCCATAAGCATAAATAAAAGGACTAAATTCATGTTCTTTGTTTATTTTGATCAAACTTTTTATTTGTTCATTCATAACTGTGCAACTTTCATATATCTGATCAAACTAAATGGGTACTTGGCTGCACATTTGTGGGTAATTTTTGATGCAAAATAAACAGGATAATAAACAGAAAGATAAATAATTTATTAACAAAAACAGGAGAAAAAGAGAAGCAATCCTTACTGTAAGAAAGTACAAAAGAGCAGCTATCTGATATAGCTTATACAATGTGAAACAACACCCTTATATGTCTTGCATGCGTAATTCGATCCTGGCAGAACGTTAAAGCTTTACATTTTAAACGCAATAAAGCGCAACATCATCAGGAAACTCCGCATACCAGCGGTAGACTCAGGGGCCTGATGGGACCAGATGGTCCAGACAGGGGCTCCGCTCATTTCCCAAAGGCATCGCCCCCCCGTGTCAAACTCCCAGCGCGATGGCTTGTGTTCCCTCCCCTCTGACGCGCCGGACCCACATAAATAGGAGGCTCTCCAGCTCTGCGGCACACTCGAGCTCATCCGCTCCAAGAGAAAGTATCTCTCAAAACGCACAACAAGCAGCAAACGAAATGAGTCCCAGCATCACCACCGAGGCCAACCAGCCTATCACTGCCAGGTCCACCGTGGCCCAGAGAAAACAAGCCAACGAACTGAGAAAGGTAAGAAAAAGACAGAAACTTCATGGTTGTTGATGGAAATGTTTTTGTGTGTGTCTGATTTGACTCTTTTAAAAGTGCAGCTGAATAACGGATTTTCCTCATTTCTTCTAGACTCTTAAACCCTTACTGGAGAAGAGAAGACGCGCTCGTATCAACGACAGTCTCAGTCATTTGAAAAGCCTAATTCTTCCTCTGGTTGGCAAAGACAACGCACGCTACTCCAAGCTGGAGAAAGCTGATATTCTGGAAATGACCGTCCGTTTCCTCCGAGACCTTCCTTCCACTCCTGTCAAAGGTGAGCATCAGCCCTAGAACTACAATATACATTGCATACAAACTTACTTATTTTAGATTGTAGGCTAATAGTCAAATTCAAGTCACTGATCAAATCTCTTCTTCCTCCAGACTCCGCAGACACTTACAGAGAAGGCTACAAAGCTTGTCTCCAGCGCGTCTCCGCTCTGCTTCCCAAAACGAGCCTGGATCAAGACGCGTGCCAGCGGGTGAACGACTTCGTCCAGCAGTCTGCATCCGCCACTGTCACCCCAACCTGCCTGAACTGCTGCGCTCAGAGCTCCAGGTCTCTCCCTCAGATCCAACAGAGACTCCTGAGCCTCAAATCCAGCTTCAGCTTCAAACTGGAGGGTCCGCCCCGCAGCAGCGCAGCGGCTCCCAGCCGGGCGCAGCCAGGCCCGCAGGCTGTCAGCGCTGCCATGTGGAGACCCTGGTAGACTAGTTGGACATTTCTCACATGCGTGTTATTTATTTTGTGATGTTATTTATGCCATTTGTATTCCAATAACCGCAGTGTTAGTGGTTAAGAATTGTTGGAGTTGCTGTATAATAATTGAATCCAGCATTTGGCTCATTTTGCGTTTAATGCCAGAGAGCACACGAGCACAGATCTCAAAGAAACTGAAGTCTATGAACGTTTTTAAATGCAATCCTCTTTGGGGTTTCAAAGATATGGGTTGTAGACAACACTTTTGTAAAACCCCAAGGGTTATTTAGTTTGAGGTTTGCACGATGGACTTAAAAGTATTTTGGTCTGTGCAAAAGAATAGTCTGTAAACACTGTGTGTTAAATAGGATTATTATTCATTGACTTTGTGTAAGAAAAAAAAACATGTTTTATGACACTTCAAATGTTTTCTCATTGACAAAAGTTTTCCAATAAATGTTCTCTTAACGAATATGGTTGTGTTGTTTGATCTTTGATTTTTATGGTGGTCTAAGGATCTCAAGTTTATCATTAAACCCAGACGGCTTAACGGGAGGAATCTCAGTGTTATGAAAGGGGGGAAAAAGGCGCGCAAACGCATAAAGCCACAGGTCAGCCTGAGCCTATTGATGCAGATGAGCAGCTGCTCCATTGTTGCTGATGTGAGGCGCCTCTCAAGTTGCCGCCAAAGTGGTGGGAAGAAGTTTTGCTGGTTGTGTGATGGGACTTACTCTGAGATGACTGCAGTTGAGAATTACAATGACAAAACACTTGTTTCTCAGGAAATTTGTCAAAAGCAGGGTTATAAGTTTATACACAAACTACAGACTACTTCACAGTATAATAACACATTCTTGCTTTGATTTTTACATTTTTTATTATATTATTATATTTTATGACTTTTATTTGATATCTTACTAAATGACTTTCCCATGTGTTTATCATTATTTATCCTAGCGTATATGTAGCATACAGTGTAGATGTTTCTTATTGTTTTTCCACAAACCCTTTTTAAAAAACAGAACCTTAATGTCATCCTCCCTCTAGACTTTACAGGATATGTCTCATATTCAAAAGCCTCTATCTGTGAATAGACAGATTAATCATGCATTTAATCAAGTAGTGGGTTTACTCTCTAACAACAAAATAATTGTCCATGAAGCATAAAATGTGCTGTGAACGGCAAACAGCTACAATCTCCAGCCATTGTGAACATTTCATTGAACATAGGCAGAATGACAATGATCCATTTTAATACTAGACTTTTGTATTATTTGTAAACTTACAACAGCATTTGACTTTGCAGGTATCTATAGTGCATGGGACATCTTACAAAGTGTTATTACTTTTGTTCATGTGTCAGAAGGTAAACTTGTTCTGAAGAATATTTACGGGTTTGATTTATTCGCTTTATTGACTTTAATATGAAAATCAACATGTAGAGACCTGAAACAAGTTTGAGACAGGTGCCATAATCTTTACTTTTATTCAACATGATATTATTCTTTTGTGGAAATGCAGCTAAGAATAGAGAGTCCTTTTAAAACCCCTTGTTGTTCTAGGATGGCTAAACCTGGATTTGAACCACATCTTTTTAAATGCTACAAACACAGTCAAATGATTCGTTCACAACCCACAACAAAAACACAGTTTTGGTCCTTTGAATTAAGTTTACACTTTTTTCCATCTTAAAACAATACTCAAATGTCCATATGTGCATTAAAGATGTGAAGAGCTACTTCAATGGAAGTAATGGAGCGCAAAAAAATTAAATAAGATTTTCAGCTGAATCTACTATGAGGCTTCAGCAGTCTGAGCCATCAATTGGGTATCTTGTAAAGTCTGTGGTTCAAGACATTGTTTCCTTCCTGAGCTGCAGTGGAGGGATAGTAACCCAAAGAGGGAAATTTGTACACATCATTTTTTTGAAACTACTGTTTTAACTAAGAAATGTATTTTTTACATGTTACAGTAAAGCTGCAACCAGAAGGGATCTCTCAACCAGTATGGCCAGAATCAATAATTACAGTGACCAGTAATGTACATATAACATATTACATGAAGATTTAAATGCATTTATTTTGAGTAACTTTGGACAATAGAATAAATGCTAATATTATATATCTTTATTCAACAAGGAAAGGGCCCCACTGAGATTGAAATCTGGTCCACCACATAGAGCATAAAACATTGAGGTTGCAAAACATATAACAGAGGCCTAATAATGATAAAATTACAGCAATAAATATATTATCACAAGTAATATAAAAACAGAAATGCAGTGGATATAAAACACTGATAAATACAATCGTAAAACAGATGACACAATATATTACCCCAAGCAAATCCTGTGTTAGAAGCTGGAGGTATGTGGTTTGAAAGAAGCCGGCGTTTAAGAAGCAGGGAGGGTCTAATGAAAGCGGCCATGTAACATAACACATTACAGTATGGACACTCAGGATGACAAAATTACAGATAGATTATAAACATATGAAGAATATGGATCCCGGAGGACGTTGAGCTACTTCAGGTGTCGCCAAACAGACCTGGGCTACACAATCTCTTTTCCACCTTGGAGACCAGGAAGAGGACAGACTACACAAACACACAAGAGGCAAACACTCAAGCGCATTACACAAACACACAGAGAGAAAGAGAGAGACAGATAAGGACAACATGCACACAAAGGAGGGAGAGACAAGAGGGAAGGACAAAGATCCAGATCCAAAACATATGGAATGAGGCACAGACAGCCAGGAGAGAGGTGAAACATTGAAACAGGTCCAGGCCGAATGGTCTAGCACAGAGTAAAAGAGAGGACAAGGAGGGGAAACTAAAAGAGTTTATTAGTGTTCATTAGTATCTGAGCCCAGAGAGAAATACATGGTATGAACCACATGATGACTTTATATTAATTTGCCACAGTTATGCTATGGAAATAATCCTCTACTCAATACAAGTTGTCCAAAATACGAAGAAATTAGAGAAAATGTCTTCCTCAAATTCAACCAAAAGAAGAAATCCCAGACTTTTTTACCCTCCCAAAGGAGCGCCTGATTTAGTATATGGGAGAAGACAACACGACATTAGAACTGGCAGGAGAATATGTCACTGCATGTCACACAGCAAGACTGATTTTAATGTAAGGTTGTTTTTGTTTGTTTTTGTTCTGTTCTGTTTTGTTTTGATTTTTTGTTTTGTATTGTTTTTCACTTCTCTTTTCTTTAATTTCATTATATTAATAGTATTTGTATCATTGTATACTACAGTGTTCATATTTGAGTTTGGCAACATTTTTGATTTAAAACACCATGCCAATAAAGTTGAAGAAAATTGAAAATTGAGAGAGAGAGAGAGAGAGAGAGAGACTGACCCGACAGACTGATAATGGTAACGGGTACAAAGTAATAAAAATTAAGCATCAAATTCACAGTCAAAAGATGAGTTCTAACTTTGAATTTAAAAGCCTTGGCAGAGTCAGACTGATGTCAGCAGGGAGATTATTTCAGAGGAAGGGGGAACAAATGTAAAAACACCTGCAGACTGCTGACTTCTTTTTAACTTTGTTGACCGACAGGAGCCTGATATTCCGAGAGCGGAGAGCACAGGATGGAATATAAGGTTTAAGGATATCAGACAGATATGAAGGGACGTCCCTGTTTACAATTTCACAAGTCATCAGAAGAACCTGAAAGTTTGATCTGACAGGAAAGGGAGCCAATGTAAGGAAGCTAAAACTGATGGTGCAGCATTTAAACAGAGGCATGAATTAGGGTCTCTGAATGAGCCATGGACAGAAAAAAATAAATTTGAGCTATGTTGCCTTGGTGAAAAAAGAAAGAGGTGATAGTTTCTTTAATGTGCTGATCAAAAGAAAAGGTAAGACCAAGATTCTTGGCTGTCAAAACTTTGAGAAATCACACAGTTGTCAAGAGTTACTGTAAATCATCTATGTAAATCATGCCCAATGACCAGCATTTCAGTGCTATCAGAATGTAAGAACAGGAAATTGTGAGATATCAAGGATTTTACAGCAGACAAGCGTGTCTCTGATTTAATAATTTGTGAATGATCATCTAGGCTCAGCATCATCAGCGTAACAGTGTAATTAAGTCCATGACTGCACATAATTTGGTCAACAGGTGAAATATAAAGAGAGAAAAGCAGAGAGCCAAGAACAGAACCCTGGGTACTCCGTATTTCACATCATAACATTTTGATGTAGTATTATTATACGAAACTGTGTTTTTTCAGAAGACTTTAACCATGTAAGAGCCAGGGATGCCAAATAGATTTTCCAGTCGGTCTTGGAGTCTACAATGATCAGTCGTATCAAAAGCTGAACTGAATTTAAAGAAATTAATTGAATCACTGAGGTAAAATCTGAATGCTAGTAAACAGATCATTCATTACTTTAGTAAGTGCAGTTTCAGTGGAGGGAGGTTCAGAAGGGTCAAATAAGTGAGCTGAAAGTGGCTCCTTAAATAGAGGTTCAACCAGCAGTCATAAAGCGAGTCCAAGTGGGGACAATTCAAGTCGTATATTCAACATCGTAGGTCTCAGAAATTGCCAGAAATCTTTGAAAAGTTTAGTTGATTTAGAAGCTAACACCAGTTTGGTTAATATTTCATAACATAAACTCTTTGGGATTCAATATTGTAGTGCTGATTTTACAGAAGTAGCTGGAGATGAGATCATCTATTTTTCTGCAGAAAAAAAGCCATAAAGGTTGAGCAGCTAACAGATGGATGTTTTTTTGTATTTATTGCTACTGATTAAGTAGGCTACTTTGGAGGCAGACAGAACAGGCTTGTAATGTAATACACACTTGTATCATGAGAGGAAAACGTCCAGTTTTAATTGAAATGTCATTTTGCTTTCCAATGCCCTGCTGTAAGTATGTAGGCCTGAAAACCATGGTTCAGACCTCTTTGAAGTGCAAATGAAAGCAGGAGACTAGAAGGTGCTGTGTTTAAGTCACTGGTACAGTTATCAACAGGGCTTGTCACTGCAGTGTAAGGAGACAGAAGTCAATCGACTAGTTTTGCTCTAAATGTAATAAAATGTAACAGAGAGACTGTCAGGACAGAGACCTCTATGCTGTGTGACAAGATCAAGTCAAGGGTGTTGCCACTGTAGCAAGTAGATTTATGTACAAACTGTGCAGAAAGGTTTTACTTAGAGGGTCAAATGCCTTTTTCAGGCTGAAATTGAAATCACCAATAATAAAGTTATAGTGTAACAAGGTCTGAGACGAAATTTCCAAATTGAGAATAGGAGCCAGGTGGTGTGTAGGGTAGCACAGGGTGTTCTGCTCTGATCAGTGGTAACAGATTATAACAGGTGGATACCACCAAGTCCATCTGGAGAGCCACTTAAATTACAGCATACTGGAAAAAATGAATGGATAGAAAGCATATGTTGCTCTGCTGATCAAGTCAAACAATGGAAATAACCCATGTCTCCATTTGTCAGTTTATTCCAATTAAAACCTTATTTGTTGTAAGACTGGATGAGTGACGCCCAGTTTGATGTTCTGTACTCAGCTCTAAGTTAAACCACAATTTGCTGATGTCCAACCCTACTGACACAGTAAAGGGTTGAGGGCTTTGTTCAGTGGGTCTTATTGTATAGTTTTTTGCAGTGTGTATCACAGTCTCACAAAAACACTGAAAAAAGTTAATTTTGTGTTTTCTTGAGCAGAACAAACTTGTAATAGCAGAGAGGCACACAATCCTCATCATAACCAGTGCAAATTATACTCACCTGACAACAAGTAGTAGTAGTAGTAGTCCCACTGACGTTTTGTTTCGCTATAATTGGGATATATTGTTGTATTTTGTTGTTTGTACTACTTGTAAGAGCCGTGCAAGCGGACTTGTTGTCCTCAAGTCGTGCTCAAGACTGCTTTCATTAGCCTACATACTGGGGATAATAAATTGTGGCCATTACGCATTATGTCAACACATTTTTACACAATTTAGACCTGTTGAGCTGCAGATCAAATGTTGTTTATAGTAGTTTCAGTGGAATATGGTGTTCTCTATTGTCTGAGCATCGGGAAAAACACCGAGGGTGCCCGATTTCTCTCAACTCGCATCACACTGCGCCAAAAGTCAGGTGGAGTCCCGTTCAGTGTTTCTCCCCCATCCCACAGCCCGCCTCATGTGACTCTTAATTCCCATGAAGTGTTGGAACATTTTCAGACAAAGGCTCCCTGTTATCCGTCCAGCACAGATGGGTTACCGACGCCGAATTTGCTCCAAAAGACAAAAGAGGACTCTAACCGTAGGAGCGAAACGGAGAAGTGTACCTCCACCCCCAACCCCCATCATCCTCAGCACCCCTCCATCCATCCCCCAGCGGGGCGGGGACGGGCGCGTGCAGCAAGTGTGCCTCTCAGTTTCAGGACAGCGCTGGGCTTTGTTACAGGATGGTGACCTCCACATTTCGACTCTTTCGATTTTATTTATTCTAATCTCAAGTTGTGGAAATACTTGGAGATGTACCTTAGTTGAATCGCACCCAAATCCATCTGAATTGTAATAAACATTCATATCCTTTGCGCCACAAACAGTGAAAAATCAAACTGCATGAGTAGTGCATTCTGCTTTCATATATTTTACAGTTTGTAGTTCTTTATAGCGTATATGCTTCTATTTTGGGATAGTTTCACCATGTCAGGATAAAACTACACCTGTGTACTGATTCTGAGTGTGTGAGCTATTTGATATATATATATATATATATAGGCCTATATGTTAATATATATTAATGTAATACTTGTTCAAAGAGAACCTTGTGGACGGAGTCAGGCAACCTGCTACTCCAGACAAACATCCTTTATCTCCATCAACAGATTGAGCTTTGTGTTTCGTCATCACCATATAATATTGATAAACAAGCATCTCATGATAGCTTGGACGCTAAAATATCCAGGAGTCAAGCTGAAGGAGACAATCGCAGCTCGGAGTTTCCAAACAGGGGGGCGAGAAAGGTTTGTTTCAGTTGGCCACTAACAACATGGACCCATAGGATGCATGCAGATGGGAGACCCAAGCCAAAACTGCGTGGAGATCATGTGTCGTGCGTGTAAAGTTTATGGAAAAAGAGCTTGAGTTCTCTGTGTGTGTGTGTGTGTGTGTGTGTGTGTGTGTGTGTGTGTTAGCGCGCGCACGGATGAGAGATGGCTGGATTCGTGGTGGGACAGGGAATACTGGCTCTGGCTCTTCAGGATGCTGGTGGGTGCAGGGGGAGGAGTGTATGGGGGTGGGGTTGAAAGCTCGGTAACAGACAACCATCTGGTCCCCGTGGCGCGTGCTGCGCGCGTGGTTCCCCTGAGTGCAATGGTATTTGATGGGCTGTCATGTCTTTCCAGTTTTTATTCAAAATCTGAAAATCTTAAACTTGTAATTCAAAGTTAGATGGATTCCTAACAGGGCGCAAAGTCTGGTTACACGGAGTCAAAGCGCACAAGTTGCCTAAATAATCTAAATATGAGACATATTAAGTTCAAACCCAGGCTCATTTTATATTTTGCGGTGGCTATTGTGCTTGACGTACATGTTCCCTCGCTAGCCACCCACCCTCTGTTTTTCAGCCCCCACCGCCCTGCGTGAGGCGTTTGCAGCAGCAGAATACACCCTACAGGTAGACACTCCCCTGGGCAGAAACAGCATAAAAACGTCATATGCAAAACTATTGTTGTCAAAATCTAAGAGCAGATGTTACTTGAAAGTAGCGTCGCTTGGGTATGAGATTGGAGTAAGAGTCTGTATCTCTGTGGACACTTTTCCATACACACAAGCCTGACCCCTATGCCAGTAATGTATGTATTGCACCCTGTTGTTCTACGTGTTGATATTCATTAAAAATGTTATATGTGAGCTAAAGAATAAGTAATAAAACGTATAAAATACACTAATATATTACACACAATACAATTCAGTAAACGTTCAGCGTCGAAGAGAAACGGGAAATCCAGCTGGCAAACAAATAATGCAAACTGAGAAAGTGTTGTTGCATAGGACATATGTATCTTTTTAATGTATTTTGCTGTGCTATATAGTTAGACTACAACATTAATGAAAGCTATATGCCCTATATTTTGTACTGCGCTTTTTCTATAGCACTGCGTAATTGCTCACCAGTAAATATATGTAAATATGTTTGTATCTGTGTATTTTACAAATAACGTTTTACACCTAGTAATGAAATTACTAACCTAATTTTATACTATTTAATATTTTAAAAATGTAAGATTTAGCAGAATTTGTACTGGCTGAATGATCATTTGCTGCGTCCAAGCTTCTTTACGCACAGCTTCCAGCTTCTAGACGCAGGTTTTGTTTGATTTGGTCTATAGATCATAACGCAGACACGCACTGCAGTTGTTACGCATGGATTAGAGTAGAAGACAGATGGTTATCTTACTAAATTTGGTGGGTTTGTGTTGTTTTCATCGAATACGTGGCCTGTCCAAATCGTTTCATGTTGGCTTGGGGGCGTACCCGTGACGCACAGAAACCGACGCCACGGACCTGGATATATACTGCAGCCTTTGGCAGTGAGAGACACATCTTTGTCGACTTCTGTTTCGGACACATCTCTAGCACAAAGACGACCCTGAAAATGTCTCCAAACATGACTTGTGAAGCTCTCCAGACTTTTTCTCCAAGGCCAACTGTGGCCAAAAGAAAAGAGGCTCTTGAGCTCAGAAAGGTAAGCGGAGCCACTGGATTTTGTTTTATTATCTTCAATATTTTCTCTAATGTTTTACTCTTGAAATGAATGAATGCTTAATATTATATGTTCTTTTCAGACTATGAAACCTTTGATGGAAAAAAGAAGGCGGGCCCGTATCAACGACAGCCTGGACCATTTGAAAAACCTCATCCTTCCCCTCACAGGCAGAGATGTAAGTTATTATATACATTTAAATATATGCTGAGAAAATAATTTTCATATTTACTAAAGTCAAGGCAATGTCTGTGATCACATGTTTAACATTTGCTTTTAATTATTTTCTCCAGAAGACTCGCTACTCCAAGCTTGAGAAAGCAGACATCCTGGAAATGACTGTGAGGTTCCTCAGCGACATCCCCCCTGTTAACACCAAAAGTGAGTTATGGTTCTGTTCGTTACGTTTATTGGTAGATAAATATACGCACAGTGGACTCTTCTTATTTTTTAACAACGAAACTAACATTTGATTGCCTTTTCAGATTCCACAGACAGTTACAAGGAAGGCTACAAAGCTTGCCTCCAGCGCGTCTCCGCTCTGCTTCCCAAAACGAGCTTGGATCAAGACGCGTGCCAGCGGGTGAACGACTTCGTCCAGCAGTCTGCATCCGCCACCGTCACCCCAACCTGCCTGAACTGC